GGGGAGGATTGTTGGGAGGGGGTTTCTGGAAACATATCCTTAGCTGAGGATTCCTGTGTGAGTACTTGCTGAGACCCAGGATCCCTTTCTGTTCAGGAAGAAGTATGTGACCATTGCCGAGAGAAGGGGACTTGGTTGCCACATCTTAGCATGTGATCCTCCTGCAGGGCCCTTGCTGGGGAACCCCGAGCCTCCTCGGCACGTATTGGAAGCATGTTAAGCTTTTAAAGGTCAAAAAGCTTTGCCAAATTGCTCACTTGCAGCAACTTAGAGGAGAGGCCGTGAAGTTTAGCATATGTAGTTTCTAGAGGTGTGTTTGGCACATTGGACAGTTTGAAAGTATGTCTGGCTGTGAATAAGCTGTTGGTTTCTATCCCATATGCATCCAAGTGCATTATGGGATTGGAGTCTGCACCACACTCCGATAAGCATGTTTTAACATTTTAAAGTCTGGATTTTGCCTTTTCTGGATGCTTTCAAAATGTTAAGGGCCCCCCAAGTCTACCCTCAGTAGTAGTTGTAGAATTTCCCAATGAGGAATTGCATCATTTAAAAAACATAGATATGTAAATTAACTACAGATCATAGAAAATACACATGAAGTACACACAATCAAACAAGGAGAAAGAAAGGACACATTAGGATAACAGTTCCATCCCCCCCACCCCCGCACCTGAAAACTGCTGTCACTGAGACTGTACCAAATTTGGTGTTTTTTTTTTTTTTCAAATTGCACTGATTTTCTGACCATTCCCCCCCACCACACACACACACAGTATCTTTTCACTGGTAAACATCTTTCTTCTTTATCATGTGTATCCATATCCCTATTTTTAATGACCACACACTATCATATTATTTAGAAGTACTATGATTAATTTGACAAATCCTTAATTATACATTTTTGGGGGGTTTTGTTTAATATAAACAGTGCTTTGGTGAATATCATTGTACATTTGTCTTTTCATATTCCTTCAATTATTTTTTAAAAATAAGTTTCTGCTGGTCATGATGGTGCATGCCTGTAATCCCAGTGCTCCGGAGGCTGGGGTTGGAGGAACCCAAGTTCAAAGCCAGCCTCAGGTATTTAACTAGGCCCTAAGCAACGTAGGCCCTGTCTCAAAAATAGAAAGGGTTGGGATGTGGCTCAAGGGTTAAACACCCTGGGTTCAATCCTCAGTACCCAAAACAAACAAATAAATAAACCAAAATGAGTTCCTAAATGTGGAGCTGATAATTAAAAGGTCGGTAGCACGGAAACCTTTGTTGTTTGCTACAAATATTCATAGAAATGGTGTTTGTAGCCATTTAGCCTTCAATTAATTTCCCATTCCTCACTCTTCCCTTCCCACCCACTCACCCAACCACTCATCCACTCATTTATCTACCCATCCACCTACCTACCCATCCATCCATCCTCCCACTCATCCATTTACTCACCCATCTGTCCACCCATTTATTCATCCAATCATCCATTCATCTATCCATGCATCCACACTTCCTTTCCCTCCCTCCCTCCCTCCCTCCCTCCCTCCCTCCCTTCCTTCCTTCCTTCCTTCCTTCCTTCCTTCCTTCCTTCCTTCCATCATACTGCACTGCATAACTGCAGTGAGTTGGTCCTAGGGCTGAAGATGGCAGACTGCAGTGACATGTGGTCTTCATTCTGCAAACTCAGAATCAGGAGGCAGAAGTCCTGAGGGTGAGAAGCACCAGAACTGAGGTGCTACAGGCAGGGGAGGCACAGGTGGAGAGTGGCTTGGGCGAAGACTTCCAGCAGCTTGTGGTCTCTGGGCTGTGGGTCAGGTGAGAGTTGGAATCTGGACACAGTGGATTCATTTGTGTCCAGGCCAGGGTATGGACAGGACCCAAGATAGTCAGATCTCTGGACAACATCCTGATCCAGCACCATGGGCCAGCCCTGGCCTTGCTAGCTTGGGCTCCTTTCTGGTCACTTGCCTGAAAAGAACTGGGGTGTCCACCTAAACACTCATGTCCTTAGCCTCCCAGCTCCCAGAAAACAGTCCAGGGTACTGAGGGAGAGTGTGAGAGAAAATTGGAGAGAGACAGAGAAATGGAAGAAGAAGGAAGAGGAGCCTGCTCTGTTTGCAGAACATGCAGAACACTACACTCAGGTATTCGGTGGTTTTAAAGAAATGCAGCTTAAAACACCCAGGGGAGGCCAGGCATTAGGGAGGTGGCAGAGTAGGAACACAGGCTTAATGCTGACGGGAGGGTTGAAGACAGCCTTACCTCTTTCCAGATGCTCAACTTGAACAAAGTGTCCCGTTTCCTTGTCTAAAGGACAGAGCTTACTGTACTTCTGACCTATTGAGATGGGTAGAGAGAATAGGGATGAATGAAGGGTTCTTGGGACAGTGCCCAGCCTGACCCTAGGTGCCCACTAGAGGTGATAGCTGCTATTTTTCTCTCCCATGGAGTCTGGGCACAGGGCTTTCTGCACCCCCGGAACCCAGCTTACCTCTAAGGCTTAAGTGAGAAGCCAGTTCCTCTTGGCAGGGGTGAGGGCCCAAATGTGAGGGGGTTTAAAATCTGTGCCAGCGGCTTTGGTAAGACCTTCCAGAGGTATCTTCTGGATCAGGATAGAAAATTGTTTTTCTTTTTATGGACAGAGGAGTCCAATGCCTTTTAATGCCATTAGCGCTGAGAGAGGGGAAGGGATTGGGTTTTGTCTGAAAGGATACAGACACTGGAAAAGGAGGCCCAGCCTTTGGGCGGAGAGAGTGGGCAGAGTTGACCTGAGCTCAAGTCCACAGCCTCAGGCCTTCATCCATTGTGAGCCAGAGAACAACAAAGTCTCTTCTGAAGGGAAACCAGGCTCCCAGGGCCGGGCTCTCCCTGCCTCCCTGTTCAAAGTCAAAATTCGTGGCTTCTTCATCTACCCAGGATGCAGTTCAGGGGCACCTGTGTCGTCATTCAGAGGTGACTGAATGCCACCTGGCAGACCCACCTGGGTGTGCAGAAAAGTCTGCTGGGATTGATACCAAGGACCAAGTCTCCCAGTCTGGAGATCTAAATCCCCCAGAAAAAGGTTTTAGCCCACACCAGCCTTGGCCCAGGCCCAGATGGCGGCACAGCAGAGTGCAAACCCCGTATCCTGGGGGGATGCTGTTGGACTTTTTTGACCCCCCGCACCCCCAATCCTGGGGAGCTCTGGGATATGTATTGTGGCCCAGTTTGTGACTGCAGACATGTGGATGTGGGCAGGGATGGATGCACAGGCGATACTGGGTGGTTCAAGGACAGTGCCAGAATTGTACATTTTCACCTGGATGACCTTCAGAAAACCGGTCAAGAGGGAGAACAAAATTGCCAAAGTTACTTTGATAAAGATCAAATAATAATGGCCTTTTTCATGGATGCACATGTGTGATGTGACAATTCAGAGCAGGCTTGGGGTGGTAGCAACTCCCACCATGCCCTGGGGTCTTTGAGGCCTGATAGCTTTGCAGAAGAGAGAGGTCTACAGGAGGTGTGGGACAAAGAGGACACTAGCCCAAGCCAATTGGAGGGTATGCAGTGTCTGTTTGATTATTTATGGCATTTAAAAAATATTCTACCACTGTGAGTTGAGATTTTTGTTTTAAATGAGGGAGGAATTGGAAAATCATTTCTCAAAGATCTGTTCCTTCCGAGAGTCCTTATTCTGTGGTTTTAAAGAAATGCAGCTTTAAAAAACCAGGGCTGAGATTACTGTGGCAGATGCACCAGGGATGCAGTGGCCAGGATACACCCGCCAGGGAACGGATGCCTGGGGCAGCTGTGACCTCCCTACAGCCCCTGTGGGGCGCTGCCCTGCTTCTCCCAGAGAAGGCAGGAAACAAAACTGGGTTGTTACCCAAGTTAGGAACAAAAACTCAAAAGAAGCATTTCTTAAATAGACAGAAAACAGCCACTATTTTAAGAATTACTTATTTATATTCTCTGGACCCTGGAAACGGGAGGCTACAGTACTGTTTGGGTCTTTAATTTTGCATTTGCTTCCCAGGCAGCTCTGTACATTCTGGAGCCAGTGAGCACCCAGGTCCTCTGCCACTTACCAGTCCTGCAGAGGCCTCCAAGAATCTCCTTTAAGAACAGTCAAGGAAGCCACTCTTGAAGTTTCAGAGTGATGTGCGTCCTTTCTAGGGTCTCTGACACGCTGTCCCTTGCCGTGTTGTTTCCATAGATTCTATTTTGGGGAGCCAAGCATTCCAGGGGTGGTTATTGCATTTCAAGGGAGCAGTGCTGATGTCTCTGACCATGTTCTGGTGACAGTCTTGGTTAGATGGAGGGGCCAGGAATAGGTACAGCTCTCTGTCCCAGCCAACCACTTCTTCCCCACTTCCCCAGCATCTCTGCCAGCTCGGGGATGTGCCAGCTCCTCTGCACTTCCCTTGGCATCCTGTTCAAATGGCCCATGTCACCTCTAAATTTAGAATTAGATGGCCAGGCTGCCGGGTTGGCATAGCCCATGCCCTAGCACCACTGGCTCGTGGGGTCAGTGTGTGGAACATGATCTGTGTTCCCAGCACAGGGGCACTGAACTCACGTCTCATTTCCATATTCAGAGTCCAGAATTCCTCTTGGATTAGAAGTGTCTTCCCAGAAAGAAAGGAAAAAAAAAAAGGAGATTGATGGCTGTGTTCCAGTGGAATTATGTTCACAATCTATAGTGACTTTTGTTCTTTAAGCAGATCCAAAGGACAGGGTATAATGAAATCCCATTTTTGTAAGGAGCCAGAGAGTGAGCTGCATCTGTGCTGAATGGACCCGGAGGGTGGGATACCAGGGCCCATGGTGGAGATCTCTGGACCATGGAACTGTGGTGGGCTTTAAGCCTTGCTCCTCTACTTATGAGGATTTTCTCATTTTCCCTGATGACTTTGATTTCAAGAAGGCTGTGTTCTGGCAAGTGGAAGCAGGAGTTTATGCATCAAGAGAGGCAGGTATAACTCATGGTGCCACCTGCAGCCCCCAATCAGTGTTGCTTTGTTTTTCAGTGACATCTTTGATGCCATGTTCCCTGTCACTCACATCGCCGGGGAGACAGTCATACAGCAAGGTATGTTCTGCCACCTCAGAGCCTTGGCCCCCAGGAGATGTGAACTTGAAACATATTAGCATGAACCACTCATTGTTTGTCTTTGAGAAAATTTACTGGTGAAACCTGAGAAACTAGCAAAACTCTAGTTGACCTGATAAATTTCCATAATCTACTTGTCATTAAATACATTGGATGAGGCTGGGTGTGGTGGCACACACCTGTAGTCCCAGCAGCTCAGGAGGCCGAGGCAGGAGGATTGCAAGTCTAAAGTCAGCCTCAGAAGCTTAGTGAAGCCCTAAGCAACTTAGCAAGACCCTGTCTCAAAATAAAAAATAAAAAGTTTGGGGATGTGGTTCAGTGGTAAAACACCCTTGGGTTCAATCCCCAGTGTATACCCCCACACACACACGTGTATGTATATTAGAGAACTTCAGATGTTTCCATATGTAATATGTATATTTTGTCTTGTATGAATCTTTTAGAGAGCCCACACATTCCAATAATTGAAAATATCCTTGTAAATAATGTTATAATGTTGTATTACTTCTTCTATTTGTCTTTTTTCCTCTCTTCTATTTGAGCAGATATTGTGGTATTGCTTCTAAATT